GTAGTCTTCACCTGATTTTTTTTTTTTTTTTTTTTTTTCCCCCTTCTCTTGCATACTAAGAGATTTACACAGGTGTCTCTTAAAGTCCTTTCATTTTTCAGTGGAAAGGTCTTATGAAATCACACCAGCTTTCATCTGTTTCCCCAGCAGAGTCTTTTCTTTGGCCTGTGAAATTCTGTTAAGATTTTGCTGAGAGAGACACTGCAAAATATTGCAGCTTATTACTTGTCAATTGCATTCATCAGCACTTTTTGGCAGACTGCCAAGTCAGAGCTAAACATGCAGATATTCCAAGGGAGAGCTGATATTTTGCCAAAGCAATAGTTGCATGTATTGTAATAGGAACACCTGGAAGCTGTTGGCACAGTTGTGGAGAGGTTGGGGAGGGAGCTGATCTTGGTGTCTAGGCCCCAGTGATCTGCTTATCCTGGGGACACAGTCTGAGAACAGCTCTTCCCAAACCCTCCCAGAAAGGATGGGGCAGTCTGGAGCCTTCTTGTTAGCAAGGGGAGGGGAGAAGCTGCTTTTTCTCAGTTTTGACCCGGCGCATAGCAGCCCATCTTCTCCCCTTTCCTGCTGTTGCATGTGCCAGTGATTCTCAACCTTTTAGACTTGAGGTACTCCTCTTTAGGCTTCAGGTAACCTTTGGAAAATGCCAGCTCTTAGTTTTTACTTCTTGTTTTATTTTTCCCACAGAAAATAATAGAGCAACTTCTCCGCTGCAAAAAAACTCTGAAAGACCACAGCTGGTCAGAATGTTTTAAACATACTAATTCCTATTTGAAATCTCTGGGTTTATTTTGTGAATCATCTTTGCACACCAAACAGTGGTAACATTGTGTGGCACCTCACTGCACCGTTGAAAACATTTCAAAGCATGCCAGGGTACCACAGTTCTCTGGTTGGGAATGGCACCACTTTCAGGACACCATATGCAGCAGGAACTCCCTTGTTACCTGGGGCTGGGGGTCATGAGAAGGCTGTGCTGGGCTGCGTTCTTCATCCTGTTCCCCAAATTAATAGCGGTTTCCTGTAGTCAGTTAACATAGAGCTTATGGTGATGATGGGGACGGTAGCCCAGGGTCAGTCTTCAAACTGTGATGCTGATACATGAGTAGAGATGTTAAAGTTTCACAAGATTTAAGTAGTTCAACTTTATAAAAAACAAACAAAAAATATAAAAACAAGCAACATAACATAAATCCTAAAACAAGGGTTTCAGACCCATTTGGCCTCTTAGGCTGACTGTAGACTGCAAAGCTTCCTGCAGGCGAGATATGTGTAAGTGCCAGCAGCAACATTGATCCCTGTGGCTGCTGTAGCCATAGTTTCAGCGTGACTCTGGAACCCAGGAAGCTAACACTGCTGCTTGACTACTACCCCACCTCATTTTCTCCTGGTGCCTACCTTTGTGACCATGGGCAGCTGAAGGCCCTGATTTCAGCAGTGAGTAATGTGGGGTGACAAGTGGCATTAACTCCCAGGGTCCTGGAGTTGCACTGAAACAGCAGCTCCAGCAGCTGTGAAGATTAATGCTGGTGTTGTACAGGCTCTGGCAGCTGCAGCATTGAGGGTCATGGGCCAAATCCAGTCTGTAGAGGTGGGTGGACCAGCCCATGAGTAGCCTTGATGGCCTGGATAACTCATCTTTACAAGATGAACTATACGCCTAAAGTTGAGCCCTAAAATCCATGTTTAGATACTTAAGTATACAGCATTATTGATCTTCTGTTTCTACTGAAGTTGTTTGGGTTTTGAGATCTTGGAGGTGAGGGGGGTCAGCTTTTGAGGCATTAATTTTGGCCTTGCTAAATACCGTATCAATTAAGTATAACATAAATGAAGAAACTTTCAAGGTAATTTTTGGAGCATCTTGGCACTCTTTCTGTTCTATCTCATTCACTAAATAGTACTGTTGCCATTTTG